CTGTAGTACCCAGAGGGCTTCAGGTATGTTTCTAAATAGAGGGCAGCGAATTCGATCAAAAGGCGCTGTTCGCGCTTCGCGCGTATATCCGGCTGCAGATCGTCTAGTCGAGTGATGGTATAAGTGTTTAAATATCATTCAGCAATGTTATTTTTTTACTATTACCAGGTTGAAGAAAATGGAAATTTCTGTACGCCCTGAAAAAGATTCACTATTTTATATTCTTTATTCCTATTACATGTATTCATATTGATGCAAATTATATATACTTCACTGTAGTAGACATGTACTGAAAAGGTGTTATTTCCGTTTTTCATTTGCATAAAAATTTTAAATATCAAAACCCCTAGCCCTTATTCATTCACATACCAAAAATGAGCAATATCTGTTGAACCTGAACTGACTAATGGCAATTTCCATTTTTGCCAAAAAATTGCTGTGGCTCGAAAGTACGTCGACTGGCGTGTTCCAAAATAGGACGTTCAAACCTCTCCCATAGCAGTAACAACTATACCCAATTTCAAACATGTGGGTCAAACGGTTCCTGAGTTATCATTGACCATAGCCAAATGTTGACGGAAGGACGAACGTACGTACGACGGACGACGAGCCCTGGCAATAGCTCATCTTGACGATGTCAAGGTGAGCTAAAAATATAGTTAAACTTATTAATATACTATATTGCTGCATTTTCCCAGTACAGGTGGTTATTAGGCATAGTAATTAGTAGTCGTAAGGGGTTAACCAATTTATTGGATGCCATTATGCAAGTACAGTTCATATTAGATTTTAACTGAGTTAACACAATTAGAAAACCGACGTACGCTTAGTTCCATTTCCTCAAAAAATTTACTCCAGCTGTTCTTGCGTACTTTCAATTCATATTCAATATTCATATTCTCAAAAACCCATAGCAAAACATGGCAGCTAGTCTAGTTGAGTCCATGTAACGTGTATCGGGTCGAAGCTCCACAGGTCAGGGTGCCCAACATGCGGTGTCTCTCCTGGAAAGCTGGCTGTGCTCCACTGGAAGGGTGGAAGAGGGTCGTGCGTTGGCCCCGCGATGGCGATGAACTCAAATCGTTTGGCCATGTCAAAGTTCGTAAGCTGAAAGGGCCAGAGTAAAAAACTAGTGACCAAAAAAAACACCCAGCCAATACGGAGTTTGAGCACGATGATGAATTTCTTCGTATCCTGCACCTAGAAAAATGAATGATCACGTCATTTCACATTTAAATTACTATTATTGTTAATGAGGAAAAGTAAATGAAAATTAACCACGATGATTCATGCTTAAAAGAGCTGCGTGGACCACATACCACTAACATAGAAGGTGGCTTGTCCCAACACCACTTGTAAAACCTATCAAGAAAGAGTGAATTTAATTAGTACTGACACTGAGAATACGTTCTGCACAAACCTTCATGTCGATGGCTCCGTGAGACCGGTGGCCTAGCGAGGCAAATGGGTATGTACCATTCGCTGGATTCAGGTCACTGCGAGCCGCAATGGCATTCTCAGCACTGTATGGTGGGGTGCAGTTGCACCTTGACAATGGGTCGTTCTTGAAGTCATTATATCTGAAACGAGTATGTCAGCGGTTCCATCGGCAGTAAAAACATGGTGAGCACTTCATTTTATTAAATTACTTCACACAGTCTATATTTCAGCAAGCACATGGTCATGTGAATCTGTACCTAGCAGCTTTTCTTCAAACTCTCATCTATAATGAAATGTGAAATTAAAATAAAAAATTAATTCAGTAATAAGAAATGTGAATATATAAATTACCTCATGAGCTTAATCATGGAAGACGTGTCCACTACTTTCGTATGATCCCGCTTAAATATGAGAGCCCTCGGAGTGCGATCGTATGTAAACCAGTCACCATACTTCTCTACCATCTCTGGTAACCCACTTGCTTTGAAGATCTGTGGGAAGTACCTGTAGAATCCAATTAGACTTAAGTTGGTGCCATTTCATGTTTATTAAAGAATGCAGTAGCAACAAGTTTTCAGTTTTTTTGTCATTAAACTATTAAGAGATACCATTAACACTTGATAAACACACAGAATATTGACGTTGTGCTATGTGTAACGTGTAAAGGCTATATTACTACTTACGGAGAGTTGTAGCTAGGCCAGTACGTCTGCTTAGCTAGAATCGAAGTCATGTCTTTAGACACAATCATTCCTCTGTAATAAATGAAGATGTATATTACATACAGAATGAGTGAAGGCATACTGCTACATTGATGAATATTGGACTGGCAATTCGTACGTTGTCTAACAATCTACAAGAATACCACATGACTATTCATCACTGCAATTCAGTAACAACAATGACTCCTAGCTGATATCAATTTTAGTTGACCGCTCCTTTCACCAGAGGCAGCTTAATTGAACCGCATAATAAGTAGGGTATAGGAAGTGTGCAATCTGTTTATTCGTTAGGCTGTATCTAGGTCTCAGACCATGAGCTAGTTGTTTCAAATATGTCAAAAAAACTTACGGAAGCTGTTCCAGCACGTAAAGCAGTCCTTTCTCTGGTAGAGGCCTTCCTGGTGTGAACAAATTGAAGTCTACTATCATCCATTGGTTGTTATAGCTGCAACATGACATTAAACATTAATTAACACCAGGAATCACGATAACCAACTCACTCTCTTTTCCTGACACATATATTATTATGACCGTATGAGAGTGACATGAGTGAAATCTGCAGACGTCTGTGGGAAAGATAAGGCAGTGATGTCCTGGGCATAACATGGCAATTATGACACCACTAAGCAAATAAATAAAACTATAGCATATCTCTAAACAAACCCCTACCTGCTGCGTTACACCCCCTATAAACCCTCTATATATAACTATATAGAACCTATAATGTTACCAGGAGATTACTTGCTTACTATATCTCGTTTGTCTCGCAATGGGTGGTCCACAAGATAATGACGATTAAATAATATTTTATATTGACGATAAATACGATTATCTTGTGGAATACCCATTGTGAGACAAACGAGATATAGTACGCAAGTTTCATTTCCGCAATGGATAATATTTTTAACCTTATAATATTACTATTTATCTTTTATTACATGCTGAACACTTACGTTCCACTGTTAAACTTGCTGAAGATTGCCGTCCATTCCTTCCCAGTGTTGGCGAGTCTAGTCGCGACTAGGACTCTCATCCACTCCAGCACCTGTCTCTGTGGTTTCACCTGTGGCCACAGGCCTGCATTGCTGTTCCCAATGGTTGTCTCCATGGCCACCTGCAAGTAGAAAATACATGAAGATCCATGCCACTTTCACTTGTTCTCTCAGATTTTTAGAAAGCACATTAGGAGATATTAGTACAATTATCAAGTAGTTTTCGAGCCTGAATAAATAAAAGACGTAGAAAAATGTGAAGTAAGTAAAAGATTTACACACGAAATGTTCCATCTAATTCAGATCCCTGCTATCTAATGTTTTAATTTGAAATCCCAATGTTCACCAGGCTAGAAGACAGCAGATAGAAATCGTCAATGGAGAAGATTGTTCCTGGATAGGATGACATAGACATAGTGTGGCCTGGCACAATATCAGAACCTGAAAGGAGATAATTTCAATGATCTAATTAATTTAATAATTAAAACAATAAGAATACCTAGAAAGTGAACGATACCATAAACCTATAGCAGAATATTTGCAATTGTTGTTCTAATAAATGTCACATTTTCCTATTAAATGGAATCAGGTAAAGCATGTTTGTCTCTTTATTTTCTCATACCTTATTAGCTTGAAACATAATGAATATTAAACATGAACATTGTGCACAATGTAGAGATTTGCTGTGATATTAATACTATTACCCTTCTGAGGAAGACTGTGATATTGGAAGTTGTACTTCTTCAGAATGCGTAACATTGACTGGTATGTTGACCACGAGTCGTGTGCAAAGTACAGGTCCTTGTTGCCAGGCAACAGCTTGATGAGGGCGGAACACGAACCGGAGCCGAGAACCCGTTCGAACCGATTCAAAGTGACGTTGTTCTTGTTAAAGACCTGCTCCAGGTCTTCCAGATCTCCACTCAACTGGAACATGCTGCAAGGTGGTTGATAAAATGTTAGCATTTTTATCTTTTTAGCACAGAGCAATCTTTCTATGGAGTTAAAAAAAATTCAATCAATTTCTAATGATAATTTAAAGAATCCCAATCTGATTTGATCTTACACATGTACCTATAGCAATATTGAAATGGTGTAATGAGCATTACACAGAACACACATAGTTTAACAAGCAACTTACAGCATTCTGTTGGCAAAAGGAATATCATGGAATATTGTATTGTGTTCGATGTCGTTGTCCAGTAAGGTATGTTGGTAGTAGCCGTCACCTAGCTGTCTACTGAAGCCATCGTTCAAACCATTCAACTGAGCAATAATCAGCTGGATCTGAAAATAGATTAAAAATAATACGTAACTGGTAAAAACATGCACACATTCACATCCACACATGCACACACACACGCATATATATATATATGTATAATCAGGAGCACAACAAACCACATGATTTGATGTGCTCTTGATACAAATGTATATGCTACACAGAATGGCACAGAAGATATATTCTTACACATAATATAAGAAGTAAATGTAGAGACACCCGAGTGACAGAAAGTGTCAACACTAACTGAATATTATATTTCAAGCATACAACAATGTTAATGCGTAAATCATTACAGCATACTTGGTGCCAATACGGATCCGTATCCGCTCGCTGTGCAATCTGATTCTCCAGCCAATCATTATTTATTTCGATAAACTTCTGGAGTTTGGTGCACATTTCCTTGCCCTTTTCCTGTGGTAAGAAAGATAATAACCGAGAGTAATGATCTATTGACTCATCACTAGATGAGTTGCGCCTAAATTAAATGGCAATGCTATGCGGGATGCCAGGTGTGATTAAACATGATTGGTAGGACAATGCATCACCTTGCAGTAGCCATGCACAGTGTTGATCCAGTGCAGGAATATAAGGTCCTTGGTAAGGTAGCCCTCTGCCAGTCCTGCTGCATATGCTTGCTGGGAGTCATCATAGTCTGCGCTCGTATTTACCTGTAGGAACGCCCACCTGAAATATATCAACAGCTGGAAATGTACAGAACTGATTTTATGATAGCGACACTGCAATATTGGCAACAGTGGGGGCACATACTACTAGCACTAGCTGTGTGGCACTTTGATCTACAGCAGGAAAAGCGGAATGCTAGCACACGCACGGACGCACACACATACATTTATTACGCAAACTGTCAGAGAAACTAAGTGACATTCAAAAATAAAAATGCAAAATATAAAGCCTGGATCCTGGAGGTGTGGAGGGAGGGAGATAGTAGGACAGGGGAGAGAGGTGGGAGGAGAGGGGGAGGGAGGCGGGAGGGAGGAGAGGGGGAGGGAGGCGGGAGGAGAGGGGGAGGGAGGCGGGAGGAAGACAACCCCCTGTACACCCCTCACGTACGTACAGCCACGCGCGCGATAGCTCTAATACTAGTAGTAACTAGAGTAGAGTACTAGAGCTACACAAACGCACACACGCAGTCTAAAAGTAAGGGGGACGTGTACGGCGACTGTCACCACACACTAGCGATTGCAGGTGCAGACAGACGCATGTTCACCACCAGGGGCGCAAATCCAGGGGGGACAGGGGGACAATGTCCCCCCCACGAATTTTCAGAGGGGGCACATCATATCAAATGTTCCCCCCACGATTTTGGATCGCCATGATTTTGTGTGTAAGTGTGTGTGTGTGTGTGTGTGTGTGTGTGTGTGTGTGTGTGTGTGTGTGTGTGTGACTATGTATAAGTGTGTATACAGGGGCGCAAATCCATTGTGAAGTGAGCAACTTTTTAATTTGTGTGTGAATAGTGCATCAACGATTGCTTCTTCCTTTTTTTTTCTTTTTTTTGCCAGCTTTTATTTGCATTCAAGTGCATTTGAAAGAACATAATCAATGATCATGCACAACTTGAAAAATGTGGTCTTGATAAATTTAGTAATGTTTGCTTTTTTTATAACCGTTTTTTTTCTTATATTAAATCATGTCTTATGACATGAAATTACATAAAAGAAAGTATGTTTTATGAAGTTTATGGTATGATTCACTCACATTAGGACAGTGCAGCTGATTTCATAGATTAAGTCTGGGGAACACGGGGCTATATTCACGCAAAAGAGGAACAGACTGAGTAACTGGAGGCATCGGTTTTTATAATGTAATTTTCATTGCAATTGATGATATATATATAATACGGGCTGCAAATTGGGTGATGAGTTGGAGTGAGATGCGACGTGAGCAAAGCGACGCGAGGGGGGGGTGTGGAAGAGGGGTTTCCCCCCCTCCACGGTAGAGGCTTTTGGCATTTTTATAAAGCTTTCAATTTGTGCAATTTGGTGCATTAGTAAAGTGACTATTTTCAGATAATTGTAAGATTTTTTTGGTGTGCGTGAGATATTTCAGGACGTTTTATTCATGAAGAATATTCATGCGTGAGATATCCTCAGCATTTTTTTTGTGTGCGTGAGATATTGTAGATCAGCGTGAGAGCGTGAGATTTGTAAAATGCGTGAAGTCTCCACGGTCATGCGTGAGAGTTGGCAGCCGCTGTATATACACTCATATAATGATTGACTGGACCAACATAAGTAGGACGATATTTATTTTGTGATCAGGCCTCAACAGCGAAATGAATTGGTTATTCTCGCTTTTTTTTTTCTTTGATTTTATGACTGCACTGTGCGACACGGGGGGCTACTTTTCGTACGTCTATAGCAAACCAAATGCATGTGTTGTCGTGTGTGTGTTGTTGGCAGGGGCGTGTTACAGGGATGGGGGGGGTCCGGGGACCCCTGCTTCCAGTGTCGCGGCAGAAAACAGCAATCTGAGTGGGGGTGCTAATTTCAAAAATTTTGGGGGAGGATTTTTCCCAGACCGCCAGCTTCGGCTGTGCTCGCACGTGGGTGTCCCCGCACCACATTTCAAAATGGATTTGCGCGCCTGTCCACCAACTACATGTCGCAAGTCGGTGACTCGTTTGCTAGGCCGTAGAGTAGAGTAGTGCTCATGTGACGAAGGCGCCTTCATGGGCGA